GGAGAACAGATCTTCAAAACAAATCATAGAGTATGCGACATTGAAATTAAAACCTTAACTCGAAAATTACCTCATTGACAATTATTTTGAAGGAATTGCATTAAAAATCAAACTCAGATCTAATACCTTACCGTTAATCAATAGTACTTCAAAATGGAATCCGGATAAAAACAAGAAATGTAAATTATGCAATCTTAATTCCGATGACGGTATCCACCATTTTATTTTTAGTTGTAACCTAAACAAAGATTTAGTACAAACTGGCAACTATGAACTGTATTATAAATTCCGTAATGCAAATGAAAATACTAAATTTAAATATTTGGGATATTCGACTCTTCCTATCAAGTGAAGATATTTTTGATAGATTCTGCAAAAGGTACATTAAAAGGGCATGGAAACTGTGAAGTGAAATTATAAATTCCATGCCCTAACTAAAACTATGCTTATCTTAATTTTTTTTTTTTTTTTTCATTTAATTGATTGTTAATGTCTACATTGCTATATGATATGAGGGTATAAAAAAGGAATTAAATCTTTAAATACTCATTGGAGGAGACATTTGAAGTATTCTCACATATCGATTGCAGTACATGAATTGTAAATATCATTTACGTAAATGAGAAACAATAGCGGCCCCTTGTGGTACACCAAAATTTGTCTCTTTTAAACTAGATTCTGTGCCCTTTACTACAAACATACTGTTTTGGGGATTTCAGGTAGTTTCTGAAAAATGACAGTGCAATATCCCAGATACTGTAGTGAGACAGTTTGTTTAATAAAATACCATGATCTATAACATCAAATACTTTTGATAGATCTATAAATGTTGCAATTGCATATTGTTTTTTTTTCAAAAGCACTTAATACTTTATAAACCAAATCAATTACAGCATGTGAGGTTGAATGTATATTTCTAAAACCGTACTGGCAATTGTTTAGTATGTTAAACCTTGATAAGTAACTATACAGTCTAGTATAGATAATTTTTTCAAAAATTTTGGAGAAGATTGGTAACAAAGATATTGGACGATAATTGGATGCTATATGACGATCGCCCTTCTTGTAAATAGGGACTACTTTTGCAATCTTCATTTTTTCCGGGATTAGTATTGGGTTCTAAAACACGCACATGGGTCATATTAAGCAATACATGGGTCATATTGCACACATAAACTAATGGCTTAATTGTCTAATACGAAAAACAGTCTGCTACTGACAGTTTAATTTCATAACTGCAGGTAAAACACAAGCAGCGAATAGAATTGAACCAGTTCAAGGTTTGCGAGTCCATGTTTCAGCACAGTGACAACCACCAGTTTAACCAACTATTATATTTTAAATTAATAGTTTATATTAACCTTAATTGGAAACATAATATGGTAATCCATGTAGTATAAATATAATATTTCTCAATATTCATTTCACATGGTTTTATATAAATCTTGCATGGTTTTATATTAATCCAATTTTCTTCAATATAAATCTTGCATATGTTTAGTAATCTTACACATTAATCCTATGCAGATCGAATATTAATCACCCATTCTTCAATATTAATTAGTCTCACAGTACAGTAGTTACATGCTTACATACATTCCATTTTAAGCTGATAATTTTCACATTCAACATTTTTTAGACTTTTAACACATTTTATGTGTGTTTTAACTATTGGCAATATAATTACTGTACAGAATAAGATTTTTATTTTTAGTATTTAATTAAAATAACAATAATATTAAAATTTTAAATATAAGAGTGATGATGACAATAATTTATTCTTTGAAAATAGTTGGTCTACATACAGTATTCGCATAATTTTCAATACAGTATTCTGATTTTTCAAATACGTAACCTTTATTGCAATCTCAAAAAAAATTGTTCCACCCAAATAGAATTTTTCTTTACAGCTGATATACAGTATCATCTTTTTAAAACCATGATGCTGTTGATGAAATATCATTGATTGCCTAATTTCTGTCCCAATTTGATAGTCTGGCCTGGGATTATGCTAAACTGAAAGTTACTTGGGGCTTCAAATATGAGTACAATCGTGGATCCTAAGTTAAACTTTCCGCAGACTTCACCTTTCGTCAAACATATCCCACTTATAGATGGTTCTGTAACATATGAATAATCGCTAAAATCACCTTTTCTGTATTGCCCTCTACAATTAGTTTTTAAATTCTGAAAATTAAAAGAAAAGTGATATTAATCACATAGTCATTCATAGTATCATATTCAATTATATGGGCAATAGCTTTTTGTCAAATAAAATGTATTAATTATTACTTTTTTAATATTCAAATAATGGTAACTAACAAAATGTTATGGCATTTGGTGAACTTTAAGATGATAATAATAATAAAATAATAATAATAATAATACTTTTATAAAGCACCTAATGCAAACAATAGCCTCAAAGTGCTGAAAGATGCCGGTTGAAGTTAGGAATATCATATAAAGAGGCAAGTTTTTAGTGCCTTTTTAAAACAGTCAATGTTTGGCGAGTTTTGAATTTCCAATGGAAGTGTGTTCCAGAGGGTTGACCGGATTGAGGAAAAGCTTCTGTCACCTATGTTTTGAGTCTTGTTGCAGGTTGTTGGTAGGTTAAACTAAAAGCTTCTGTCACAATATGTTTTGAGTCTTGTTGCAGGTTGTTGGTAGGTTAAACGATTTGATGAACGAAGAGTGCGAACAGGTAAGTGGCGTTGAACCAGATCATCAAGATAAATTGGAGCCATGTGATGATGTATTTTAAACATAATTAGAAGGACTTTAAAGTGAATACGAGCGATAACAGGTAGCCAGTTGAGCTTTCGGAGCACTGGTGTGATATGTTCCCTTATCTTAGTTTGTGTTACAATTCTTGCTGCTGAATTTTGGATATGGTGAAGTCGCTTTATTTCAGAAGTTGATAAGTCTGCTAGTAAACAGTTACACCAGTGAAGACGAGATGTGATAAAGGAATGTGTTATTATTTTTGTGTCATCAGTATCCATGTATTTCCAATCCAATCTTGTGAATTCCGAGCCACCCAATGCGACAAATATTGGAAATATGAGTTTTAAGATTTATGTTATTGTCAAAGATTACCCCTAGATTCCATGCACACTTAGCTGGTTTCACTATCATTTCGTTGATTTTTAATGGCCTAAGTGCCTCTGTGTGACGATGCCGAGAGAAGAAATGGATTATTTTAGTTTTTTTTTCATTAAATTTGAGTTAGTTTGTTGTCCAGATCTTAATATCGGCAACACATTTTTCTAAATGAGATATACTAGTTTCACGGTCAGTCGGATCAAATGTGAGATATATTTGAATATCGTCAGCATATACCATGTGGTTAACTTCATGGACGTCATTTACATCACTCAGTAGCCCTGTATAAAAGATAAAACAGCGAGGGCCAACCACAGAGCCCTGCGGTACTCCATAGTGCAAACGATGTGTCTTGGACTTCTACATGCTGTTCACGATTTTGAAGGCAAGATGTAAACCACTTAATGGCAGTTCCACCTATACCATAGTGCAAAAGTAGCTATTAATAAACAATGAATATTCGATAGTGTCGAATGCAGCACTAAAATCAAGTAAAATAAGGATTGCTTCTTGTCTGTTATCAATGGCACGAAGTAGATCATTTTGGACTTATATGAGAGCAGTTTCAATACCTTGATTTTTATGATAGGCAGATTGAGCAGAACACAGATGATTGAGGTGGAAATAATCTCGTATCTGTGAACATCGCACTGTTCTATGACTTTGGCCAAAAATGGCAAAAGTGAGACTGGTCGATAGCTAATTTCCATCAAGTTTAGAATTTGTTACTTGCGCAGTTTTCAGAAAGTTTGGCATAATTCCAGAAGAAAGAGACTGGTTAACTATGTCTGTAATAACTGGCAGTAAAGAATCCAAACATTTCTTTAGGAGTTGCGTAGGAATAGGATCCAGTGAACATGACTTGGAGGGGCTTGACATCATAATTTCCTTTATGTGATCAGTAGAGAGCTCATTGATTTTCATAAAAGTACAAGTATTTGTCTTTCAGGTAGTGATACTGATAATAAAGCTGGCTCAGATGTATCAAGATCATCCCATATCTTCACAATTTTTTCTTCGAAGAAATTTGCAAATTTATCAGCTAGTTCTCTATTTTCATTGTCAGGTAAAATTAGTGTACAAGTGCCCACTTTACAGCAACTAACAGGCAAGGCCTGGTAGTAGTAGTAGTAGTAATAGAGATTACATATACTTGGCACTCCTCTCTAGTTGTGTAACTGTTGGCAATCAACACATACATATATAGGAATTGGGTTATGACAGGTGTAACTGTAGCCACAAAGATTTCTAAAATGCCCACATTATTTTCAATACTTTTATATTCTCTCCTACAGTTGGTGGATATACAGTATTACTTATGTGGGATTTGGATTTGAGAAAATAATGAGAGTAAATAAATAACTGAACAAAAAGCAGTACCTTGTCAAATTTCAGTTCAATTGAACCAACATTTGTTGCACCAACAGCTGTCATTGAGAAAAGACCGTGCTTCCATTTACCCACGAGGACCACACGTTCATTAAAGGTAAAAAGACCTTTTATCAGCTTAGCAACTCCAGGATTCACAGAAAACAAATCTCCTGCAGAAAATAAGATATTCATATTCTTATTCAAAGTAACGCAAGAGCAGGAGAGAATATAGAGAAGTATGGCTGGGACACTGCTAACTACAGCCTTCACACCAGCGCTGGTTCAATCCACTCTATACACATGGTTCAGTTGGTAGAACCCAGTTTTCTCGGATAAGACCTAAAATGGAGGTCCAGTGTACACATCTGGCTCGTGTGCACTTAAAGAACTCATTGCAATGTATGTAGGATTGATCGGTAGACAAGAAGGTATAGCTAGGCCTATGCTATGAGGCACTAAGCCTAAAATTAGGCATAATGTACTTAGATTTATTGGAGTTAATTGGTGAGTCACTTTGGTTTTTTTTTCTTGTTTTTTTTTCTGTTTTTACATTTATTATTAAATTATTTAGTGAAGTATCCACACTGCTTAAGTTGTATGCGACAACCTCATATTCGTTGTCAAAAACAGAATAGGTCTGGGCCTAGGCTATCC